ATAGACGTGTGCCTGTGAATTCAGATGTGTCCCCTGGGACACAAAAGAAAATAAAACAGATATGCATCACTCACAGTTAAATTTGCTACGAAAAGTATTCAGTGCATAATTATGCTCATTCCATCCAAGATGCAACAAAAAAATCTCATTAAGATCCATCATGAGATTTATTTCACAAATAATTGCAACACTGGACCATTGTAACCTTATCACCACTATTTTCATTTCGAGACCAGTTTTCGCAGTGCAACCGGAAAAGGGGCGCACAAGCGCATTCTCGGATTTCATTTTGAGTTCGTGTCGCATGCTATCCTATGACTCCCGCATTTCCTCGCAAGCTGTTAGACCCGTAGCGGAATATATTTCTTGCAATACTCAAATACTCAAACCTGTAGATATTTATTTTCTTATAAACAACATCTCGTTCTGTGACAGGGGAAGACTGGTAAGAAATCTACCTACATAAGACTGCAGATGACAAGACTTACGAAAACATTCTATCGAAATGCAGGGAAAAAATTTCAATCACCTATTATACATAGCTAAAAAAACAGTAAAATAACATTCAATCTTTTAAAACATGGGGCCTATCTAACCAACTAGATGGCTTCGAAAGTCACCGTGGCAGTATGGTCAAAACCTCTACGACTATCCGCCAAATCCTAGTCACTAATACGTGGATCTGATGGATGATACGGCAGCATGCGCAACAAGAAGTTGAGCGAGCAGTCTAGTCTCCAAGTATGCACGGGCATCGGCAAGCCAGTCGCGAACGGACAGCGCCGCTTCGCCGCGCAGCAGCTGCGAAATGCGGACCGCTCCATCGAAATCGTTGTGGTCCACATACCATTTAGCGCGGGCAAGAACCTAAAAGCTCAGGGTTGTTGGCGATAAAAGCAAAAACATTTCTCCCAAACGAAAATATCGCTTGCGATAAGTACAATACGTATGTGCTACATCGCGCTTTACTTCCTAAAGCTAGTGATGACCTGAACAAATAAAGTTATTTTATTTTATTTACTTCAACTACTTTTATTCGTTGAGGCTACTATTAGCGCTTATTATTATTTATTTGTTTATTTGGCTTACCAAAGTTTTGAGGGAATTGATAAAAAGATACGGTAGCAGATGAAAACGCAGTCAATGGTCGCAAAAAGGTTATCAAAGACATGATATCAAGTTTTGAAATCTCCTAAACTGCTCACCTATATTTCAAGGAAATGTGTTCACAAAAATACTGGCGAGAAACACAAAGAAGGTTTCTCTCTCTATTAACAACATAATTGAAGAATTCAGAGTCTCTTGCAGACTTTTGGCAGCAAAAGTAAAATCGAGAAACCTTGAGAGGTAGGATATAGTATGATGAAAGTATATAGTATGTCAAAGCAAAGTGTCAAACAAGTTTTCAATGACAGAAGGTAAATTTGATCAGGTATTTAACTTGGAAAACGTCTAAACGTATCGCCATGTACGTAAGAGGATAGAAAACTTTTTTTTTTTCAAAAAAACATACCTCCAGATTATCAACATGTGCCAAATCGATCATATCATCTTCAGCAAACTTCCGCGGCACATCGAATGACAGCATTGACCGCAGATAAGACCATATATAAGCTGTGAGTGTGCCTCCATTGTCATCGATTCCAGCTGTACGTCGTCCAAGTTTGTAAATCTTAATAGGTTAATTGGTAGACAATACACTAAGGCCTGCAAGAATTAGGAGGATTGCAACAAACAGATTGTTATCGACAACCTCGCCTGCGAAAGCGCTAACGTGGCAGCTCTTTGAGAAGAAAAAACTGAAGAGAGACTTGTTTTCAAGCTTTGTGCCACGAAGTAGTCTTCAAAGTGAGAAGGAACCTCCGACTTACGGAAGAAAAACTGGAGCTGTACGCCAGCAAAATCAATTCTTTCGTTCGGTTCATGATAAATGTGTACATACTACATTATGTTTACTTTGCCGATCATATGAACAGCACATCTCAATCTATGTCTTTTTTT